ATAATGTCGTTTACTATGTCATCAAAAAAATAGTTTGACATTAAGGCCCCGTTCAGGAGGGATTAAAAGTCAATTAAAATTAAAAATATGGCCGTTATTGGGTCTCACTCGTCTAATAAAAGTCAACAATAACGACTATATTTTCAATTTTAATCCCTCCCATACAAGCCTAAAACTTTTGTTTACTAAAATTAGTGCCAATTCCACCCATTGCACTTTTAGGACACAGTTAAATGAAGAAAGTAAAAAAAGAGGCATTATTTTTACTTTTTGGAAAGAATTTCAGAATAGATAAAAATAAAATAAACAAGCGACAAAACTTGGAGATCTCTCCTCTTTATCCCCCATCTCTCCCCCTTATATATGTCACGTAAGGGACAAGTAAACACCAAATTATCCACTGCCCAAACGGTTCTGTGACAGCCATGCTTCATGAAACGATAACAAAAACAAGATGAGTTCAAATTTAAGTTGTAAACTGCTGTACCTAACATACCGAAATAAAGTTACAAAGTTTGAGAATCTAATTTATGGCTTTTTGGGTTTGCACGTAAAGGTAAAAGTTATCATCAAAATAATCCCTAAATTAATAAATATGGAGGTATGAGTGTACGGCAATTATGGGGAAAAGAGTTGCTTGATTCACAATCGACCTCCAGTATCTCTAGCACACCAACAGTAGATGATCGAGGTACATCAATATGGCCTGTAGCGCATAGGACGCCTAAACCTTGGAACCCTCCTACACGTGAAGGTTGAAATTTATTTATTCCAAGTAAAGAATAAGATATTTTCAAACTAGGTGCAGAAATATGTTTGTCCCGGAAATAATGAGTAAAAAGGATGTCTTGACTAATCTACATAACAGAAAAAAAGATATGCACAATAACATAATTTTTCGCTTCAAAAGCTTCAAGTAAAAGAATGCATTTGTTCATTATTTCATTGTTCCAGGTGAAAGCCAAAAAACTGAACCCTAGTGCTTACCCATAACCATAGGGAGGGTAGACAGGTGAAACGGGCATGAACATCCTTCTCGATCCAAAATAAGGGTTGGGACGTCTTCCTCGATATTGTTTCATCCCAGGAACATTAGTACGCTTAGCAGATACCTGCCCAAATTCCAAAATACATCAACATTTCTGTTGCAAAGATTCATACCTTTCATGTTTTAAGTTGCTGGATCAATATAAGTTCACAAACCTTCAGTTGACGGCCATGCAACTCAGATTCATTTAAAAGTACAGCATTTTGCACAGCCTCAGTTTCGACAAACTCTACATAAGCAAAACCTTTCGGCTGGCCGAACTTATCGGTCAAAATAGTCACCCTATTTACCGTACCACATGACTGAAAATGCTGTTGCACCTCCTCAGGTGTGCAGCCATAGTCCACCTGAATTTTGAAAGAGCAATTGGCAAAGCAATTAATCAATTGAGTCAATCTAAACCAGAACACAACATGCATGTGTAACACAACAAGCATACCAGCTTCTAAGAGGAATTTAGTTAAAATTAGGGAAACATGTCTCATTAAGAGACAGACTAAGCATTTTACGTTGCATGTTGATTTTGCATACAAGATTACATATAGTAATCTTGGCCATCTTTAACTTTCCTCACTTCTTTTGAAAATATATTGGTTCTGGCTTACAAAATTAGGGTGCTACTGTGTGGAAAGATCTGGTTTTGGCTATATTTTGGAGGTTTGGACAGCAAGGAACTCCAAAATTTTGAGGGGAAAAAACAACTGCTTGGCGATTTATGTGAGAGCAAAGTTTTTTTTTTTCTTGGGTTTCTACATCTAAGGATAAGGATTTCCCTTCATCTTTTTGACTCAATTTCAGAAAAAGAATTTAAAAAAAAAAAATATATATATATATATATTTTAGAAACGTCTATGGCAGATACAACAATACCCCCTCTAGTTTCAAAAATTACAGAGACAACCCTTGAATTTTATTTTCAGTAACATACAATTCTTCCTTTCACTTGTCAAGGCATTTATTTAAGAACGCTGTGAAGTACCTAATATACCTCTTAGAACATTACTTCCATTTTAAGCTTTTTTCCCCCCTTTTAAATTCACATTTTTCTTTAATCTTTTTGAATTTTGAGACTATAGTGTAGTATCTTGTATTAACTATATTATAGCTCCAATTAATTTAATGTTAATTAATTATCTATTCATTAACAATACATTTTTATATTTTCGTCAACATATCATGCCCATGTTTGGTACACATTAAAATTTTTGTTTTCATTCTTCTACTCATTTTNACTCCGTTTGAGTCAAATTAAAATTTTCATTCTCATTTTTTATTCATTTTCAACCACATATTTTTCAATAAAATAATATTTTCTATGACATCAATAATTATTCCTTCTTTTTCAACCATACATTCCCCATCAATCAACTATTTCAAAATATATTCTTCCAAAATAATGTGGCTCAAACACACCCCATGTTTCATAAAACTTAGTAATATAGGTAGACAATACAAGAACGTTTTAATAAATGAAGACATAAGTAAATAAATAGTTATGAAATTCATTTATCAATTTAAAAATTCCAGAAATCGTTTGGTTTCAAGTCGTAGATAAATCTTAAATTATTGTTATCGAGAAAATTCTGTCATGCTTGAAATATTTTATTGAATTTCAATTGTTTAAAAAAAAAAAAAAAGATTTTCAAAATTTAATTAAAATTGAATTTTTTTGCCCGATCTAATAAAATTTAAATTTTCAATGAAAGAACTTTAGAAATTAATCATTCATATAATGTGAATGGAACAAAAAAATATTTACCTAATATACCTCTTAGAACATTGCTTCCATTTTAAGCTTTTTTTCCACCTTTTAAATTCACATTTTTCTTTAATCTTTTTGAATTTTGAGACTATAGTGTAGTATCTTGTATTAACTATATTATAGCTCCAATGAATTTAATGTTAATTAATTATCTATTCATTAACAATACATTTTTATATTTTCGTCAACATATCAAGCCCATGTTTGGTACACATTAAAATTTTCATTTTCATTCTTTTATCAACCACACATTTTTCAATAAAATAATATTTTCCATCACATCAATAATTTTTCCTTCTTTTTCAACCACAAATTCTCCATTAATCTACTATTTCAGAGTACATTCTTTCAAATTAATGTGGATCAAACACACCCCATGTTTCATAAAACTTAGTAATATAGGTAGACTATACAAGAACATTTTAATAAATGAAGATATAAGTAAATAAATAATTATGAAATTCATTTATCAATTTAAAAATTCCAGAAATCGTTTGGCTTCAAGTCGTAGATAAATCTTAAATTATTGTTATCGAGAAAATTTTGTCATGCTTGAAATATTTTATTGAATTTCAATTGTTTAAAAAAAAAAAGATTTTCAAAATTTAATTAAAATTGAATTTTTTTGCCCGATCTAATAAAATTTAAATTTTCAATGAAAGAACTTTAGAAATTAATCATTCATATAATGTGAATGGAACAAAAAAATATTTAAATGGAATTAAGTTGATGAGTAAAGTTTATTTTAGGCACCTGACAATTTTTTTCTTAAAAATGCTTTAAAATAGTGTAAGGGGTATATGTTACTCAAAATAAACCTCAAGGAGTATCTCCAAAATTTTGAAACTAGAAAGGGTGCTTTTGAATTTGTCATATATCTCAGGGAGATTTTTGAAATATACCCCGTATTTTAAGAGACTGTGTCATTAACGTCATGATAAATAAGATTATGAGCATGTTTGGGGTGAAGATAAGTCACCCCAAACATACTCTTATGTTTCTGCTAAAAATATATATATATATATATAAAGCCAACTACTAGCATTTAGCAGTTCAACACTAGAATATAAATGTTTCCACAGTAGGGATTTAGAAATTTTTGGCTTATCTCTAAATGAAGAAAAGCTGAGGAAAGATCACTCCATGGATAAAGGAAGCCAAAGGAAAAAACTTGATAAAAGAGATCCCATTTCCAAACCAACAGAATTAGAGAACTGCGTGTCTACCTAACCAAGAGGCGACAACTTGCACAGCACAAAATTTGCATGCTATGACAGGGAATAAAATTAACAGAACATAAGAAGGGGATGGTGAAACTCACATTACCAACATATATTGAGCGGGAATCCACCTCCTCCTTTTCTGCCTGAGTAGCAGAGTCACCAGTTAAATCTTCTGCATAAGCAAATGTTACAATTAGTTGTCAGTCACCAGTTTAATGGCAAAAATTAATTGTGACCCATGTTATAAAAATTAAGAAGAAGGATAATATGCTCTCTCTCTCTCTCCCTCCCTCCCTCCCTCACGGATTTTAATTTCATATTGAATGTCTTGATTAAGAAAGGGATCGGGATATGCTGCACTCATATGAAAGAATTGATAGACTGAGCAAACTCGATTTAGAAAGAGTGTTCTACATCTTGACAATGAATAGGAAAAGTTAAAAATTAGAAAGGAGGAAATTGAGTTTGTCAAAGAACTCGAGCAACATAAAATACAGAATGTGTAATAGAGTTCCTAGCCAAAATAAGGTTACTCTAATCACATAACAGCTGGTTATGAGAACAAAATATGCAACAAGATAAAGTTTTCATCCTAAGAACTTCGAAATATGATTTCCCCAATTATATAATTATAAAAAGGCTAAACAACGTCAAGAAAGAAAAAATAACAAATATGTATACATGTGAAGAAAGAGACAATTAAGACTTCCAGATTGTGACTCATTGGATATCAATATTTTGTATTTATTCATATATTCAAATAACCACCAGAAAATGAAATCAAGGAACTTAACTTTATTACTGATAAAACCATTTCTTCCATTAGTGGATCTTAGTTCTTCACTCACCGAACGGCATAACCATCTATATTTGATCTCAATCAAATTGTATGATCAGCATAAAATACATGCGCCACAATGATAACTAGAGCTTCAATGTGTCACCTTCAATGATGAGAGAATTTTCAAGATTCAATAAGGTCCGCACAATTATTGGCCAATGTTAGGAGAAGAAAGGAAACTCGCCACAACTTATTCTGGAAACTACTCAATCGAACCTAATAAATGAGGAGTTTTGATATCGGCTATTAAGAATAAACTCTTCTTCCTTAAAATTGTCCTGCCATGGCCAAAATGGGGAATCTCAAGCTAATGTTCTAATCATCACAGCGCACAAATGAGAGACCCCTTGTACGATGGACACTAATAAACTAAAAGAATAAGCTTCTGAGCAAATATTTTTACACATGAATGTGTGTTCTCAAGGACTGCTATTTCTCAGGAAAGTGGGAAGGGAGATGCATTCATCACCGTATAAGGGAAAGAAGATGGAAAAAATGTACAGCAAAAAGAAAAAGGCATAACCTGAGAAAACACTTATTGAAATTAAGTTAAAGAATGAAAAACTCATAAGAAATCAACATACTTCTGGATGTTGAAAGACACCATGAAAATGAATGCTACTGAACCTTCATAAAGACTTGGACTCAACTACTTATTCCATGGAAAAGTTTTGCCTTGTAAAGCAAATAGATATTTGGAAGGGAATTTAAATTGTAAATGTGTAACTGTAATGTCGTCTGGAATTTATTATCAAAGTGACCAATAGATAAATTTAAAAAATGTTGGACAGTGGTCAGAAATTGGAAATAGGATCAGTAACCGAAAAAATAAACAAGTCAAAAGAATCTGAGCAGTGGTAGAATGCATTCATTAATTAGAACAGGTAAGTGGTTGGAGTAATAAATCGATATGGACAAATTGTTTTAGCATTTTACCAGCTTCATTATGTTTACTTTGTCTACTTCTACAGATGGTATAACCAAAAAATAGTCCAATTGGTGAGTTTATGATATGACAGCTTAGATGAAGTGTCTTGTGAGAAGGGGGAAAAGATTGCTTCGGTGTGACTTTGAAATGTAAAGTTGAATTATTGTCATACTTATAATCGTTCAAGAAATTAATAATGTTTACAATCACCAACAATTCAAATTCAAATTTCAGAATTATAAGTAATCCAACTAAGATTTCAATGTTACTGTAACTCTACCATATAAGAGAACTTTCTGCACATAAACGCAGTCCATCTCAAGAGAGAATCCCAAAAGCACACCAAAATTATTCAGTGGAAAGTAAAAAACCGTTCACCTATGTTCACCTTTAACCTCTATCATGATCCCCTAAGTACATCTCCCATTTGCATTTAAAATCTTTCCAATTTTATTGATCTCATCAAACACCAATACTAAGAATACTTGGCAACACCAGCCCATCAGACAGCTCATGTTCACAATTTCAACTGTTTCATTTAGCATATTCATATACTCATACTACTGAAGGGGATTGGGGGAGGGGTGAAGAAGGACGAGGGAAAGAAAATCCAGGGTGGTTTGCAGAACGAGCAAGCATGGAGCATCAGAGGAAACAAGATGTCAAAAACATTAAGTCTATGAAGGCAAAACGACAAAGCATATGTCAAAGCAAATTAGCAGGCTGCCCAGGGAGTAGGAGATGTGGATTTGAAAGCCTTGTTCCATTTTTCTCTGTATACACAATTTGTATGTGGGTCTATACATCAGGTATGTATGCATGTGCATGTTTCATGCCGAGTTGATTCTCTTTGTAAGAATTTCTTCTCCTGCATAATAGAATTGGATGATAAATCAACCAAGTTCCAACCAACTGAAGCTCGGCTGACTTTTTATTTTGTTCCAGATTGACTCCGAGGGATGAATGACACACAAATGATAAGTTTTTAAAGCTTAGTTTGATACAATTCTGTAATTTAATCAATGTCCAAATCCAATGACAAAGCATGATTGAAGATAGTAAACAAATATAAACGAACTAACTGGCTCATATACTCCTGCTGCCCCCCAAACACTCAAAAGAAGAACGAGAAGAAGAAAGAAAGAAAGAAAGAAAAGCACAAAATTCATTAAGTGTTCAATAGCCAAGACAATGTCAAATCTTCTCAAAACCTAGCTATTTTCAGTTTTCGTTATTATGGTAAACAAAGTGTTATTAATGAGTTAAATATGTTATCGATGAGTTAAATATGTCCCTTATATGGAGCTTTACAGTAGAAAATCTACCTACCTCTAGAGCAGTTCCAATCAAATACATTGATACTGAAATTTTCTTATTCCCTTCACTATCACACAGATACTTCCATGAAGGCAATACGCCCATTTTGGGAGTGTACTAGAGATTTTTCAGACGCTATTAGGTGCATGAAGAACACATCATTGGTAGGCTCCACATTTAATTGAGGTTTTTTCAAAAACTTGTGAACATTTCACCAACATATCACGCGCTTGTTTATCACTTGAAATCCCACAAAACATTAAGTTAATGATTTAATCACGTGATGCACATTAATTAAAAAAACATTTCAAAATAAAACTGGAAATATGATTTAAAAAAAAGGGAATTGATGATGACAGGAATTATCCCATCATCCACATCAAATAATACTTTGTCTGTACAGCATACATAATATTGTTGAACTTAATCTTTTTCATTAAAGAAAACAGATTTCGTTTAACATATAAATCAAACATAGTGAATCCATCAAATTCAATTGCATTATTTTTCAGTGGCGTGCCGGACACAAGACAAGTAATAGTCAAATACGTGTCAGCAGACGTGCTTATCTAACATTTGAGTGCAATCAATGTAGTGAGAGACATTTTGTCAGATGCTCAAAGAAGGTAATGTCCAAGCGTATGAACTATTGTCTAAAGCAAAAGACATAATAACAATAAATTTTGTTTCAATCAAAGATCATGTTCAGACTGCAATAGAATTTGATTTTGAAGAGCTTTGCAGGGCAAGTTCTAATTGCATCAGACTCTAATCAATAAATAATGAGGCAAAAAAAGCTTGTGACGTTCAGGTGAAAATTGAGCGCAAACGATGTCAAGGCTGCTTAGGAAAGAAACTAGGCAAGAGCAAACCACGTTGAAAGACTAACAACAGAAAATGCTAATCGTGGTATCCAGCCCCATTTGTCATAATAAAAAATTCTGAAGAATTGAACACTCAAACTCAAGTCAACTAAAACTACAGAAAACTTCAGTCATAAACCAACAAACCTAAGCCCACATTCAGTGAAAACAATAAAATGTTAATTATCCAATAGCCTCAGCCTGAACCCTTATATTCGCGTATTCTCCAAACAGCAACATACACAATTTTGTGGGAACTAAAACCCACAAAACGATAGATCACAAAACTTAACACATCCAATTACACCGCATAAAAGCCAAGAATTAACATACACATATAAAACATCAATTTCAGAAATGTAATACCTTGAGCAGCACCCATCTCTTTCTCCACCTTGGCCTGCATTTCTCGAAGCGCGCCAGCTTCTTCTTCAATCTCCTGCAACCTCTTCTTCATACTTTCCAATTCCTACAATTCAAAGACCAGTCAATTTGTAACTTACATGCAAATAAACATACAAATATATATACATAGAGTCAAAAATACCTTAGCTTTCAAATCCTCATCCGCATCGACCTCGGCTTCGGCGTCAAAATCGGCATCCATGTATGCTTCTTCAGGTACTTCGCCGCCGTACACATCGTCCTCTTGTTCGTTGTGCCCCTTGTGCTCCATCTCTCTATATATTTCCTCTGAATACAGCACTATATATGCAATTTATTTATTCAACTGTGTATACATGTGTGTTCGACGAATGCAGGATTTGTCTGAAAATTCTGGGATTCTGCAAATTTTGCTGCTGCAGCCGTGAAGCAAATAAAAAGGGCAAAAAGGGATTATAAATCGATTCGCGGTCAAACAGCGACACGAGGGTTTGAGGGGCGGGGGTCGAAGATATTTTTTTTGCAACGTTTTGGCAAAGCTTTAATTACTCTTTTTTCTTTTTTTCCCCGTGCTCAATATATTTCTTTTATTTTAAAATTTTAAATAAATTCGAGTAAAACTTGCTTTTATTTTTTTTAGAAAAACTGATTAATAATTTACTCATTTACTTATAACTTATAAGTAAGCTTAGCCGTATTCAAAGTTTCTTTTGTTTCAAAGTTTCAAAATCACTTAGGTGTGCCAATATGTCGAGTCGGCTCACAACGTAGCCCGATAATCTTGGTTCAACTTTTGGATGAGCGGGACTTAATCGGTCAACAAGTCAAGCCAAGAGGTCAATCCCTTCTCGTGTAGGGTCGGGCCAAATTGTCCCACGAACTCGTACTTTTTTAAATAGAATTTATTGAGGATTATGAAAAGAGAAAAATTCATTTATCTTACTTTTACTTTACACTATTTCAAAAATAACAAAACAACTTTCACATTTCAAAATCAGATATTTTGACCTATACATACATACATATATATATAATTAATTATTTAATCCACCCCCACCTCCACCACCCCTATCGCTCCGGCGACTGTTCCCACAATTGCTCCGATTCCGACGACTCAGGTCATAGGTCACAGTCCAATTCACAAGTCACAGTCCATGTTACAGCTCAGGTAAAAAGTCACAGTCCAGGTCACAACTCAAATCACAAGTCACAGCACGGATCACAGGTCATAGCCCAGCACAAATCGGGTCACGGTCTAATTCACAAGTCACAGTCCAGGTCATAACTCAAGTCACAAGTCATTGCTCAGGTCACAACTCGGGATTTTGTTCATAGTCACGGGTTATTTTCAAATTATCACAGCACATATTACAAAATATTTTTGCACATGACTCAAATTAATATTTAGTCACAAATTGTCGAATTTTAAGGTCACATTTAATCCATTGTGCGGTCACAATTAGTCCATTATGCGGTCTCAGTTGGTCACGAAATACAATACAGATTTAAACAACTGCCGCCCACACCTCACCACACCACCACAACCACCAGACCATCGCCTGCATCGCACCACCACCATTAAAAAAAATACCGCCTCAGCTGCCTACAAGCCGCTTGCAAGCCGGCACCACCTCACCGTCAAACCGCCACCATTTACAAACCACCACCAACTACCGCACTACCACCCAAACACCATTAAAATCACAAATTCACATGGGGGGAAATGAAATTCACGCTCAAACGACAGTAGGTACACATTTAATTGATCCAATTGCTGCTCAATTGCCTCAAAATTTGATCCCCAAAGTCGCGGCTAGGGCAGTTCTGTTAATTGCAATTGGTGGCCAAATTACACAGCATCGATCTCCAGCACCAATCGATGCTGTGTAACTGCAGTTAACGAAACTGCCCTAGTTGCAATTTCTGTGTAATTTGGCGACCATTTACACAGCATCGATCTCCAAATTACATAAATCAGCACACACAAAATAATACAAATCAACAACCTCCACCACCTGTCGGCGCTTAGATCGACGCTGTGACGACTTCGCAGGAGTGGCGGCATCAAAGCTCGTCTCAGCCAGGAGAGGTGCATCGAAGCTCGAAAACCAACCCCAAAAATTTGAGAGGAACAAGATGGCGAGCGAAGAGAGAAAATGGAGGAGGCGATGGCTGACTGTTGGGAGAAATGTAGAGTGGGAATTAATTAGGGTTTGGAGAGGGGGAGTGGTCTCCGACAGTGGCGAAGAGAGAGAATGGAGGAGGCGATGGGCTGGCCGTGGGGAGAAATGTAGAGAGAGAGAGAGGAGAGCTGTGAATTAATTAGGGTAATTTTCTTAATTAGGGGTGGGGTGTGTGTACGTAAATTAATTTTTATAATATTTAATTAAATATAAAAAATATGTATCTATTTATAAAACCTCCAACTTTTGAAAATAAAAACATGAAATCTGATTTTAGAATTTGAATCTTCAAAAGTAGGGGAGGGTGTAATTTTCACTTATGAATAATGTTAAATGCGATGTAATAAAAACCTTCACCGCCCTTTTCTTTGTGGGTACTGGCTCTGTGGCTCATATGACTAGCCCGTGGACCTACCTTTAATGTCAGTCCATGAAGCCCCATAAGTTGAGGATCCTAACTCAATTCAACTTGTCAAACTAAAAATCGAGCTAATCTCAACCCTGAAGTCATTCAAATAAAATCATGGATTGTCAATGGACCGAGCTCTCACGAGCCAACAAGTTGTCCAACCCATTACTACATCTAAGGGTCCGTTTGATTGCAAAAGTGGAAAATGGGTGGAAAGAAAATGTTTTACAGGGAATTGATTTTCTTAGAAAATGTTTTACTGGGAATTGTAATTAATTGTGTTTGATTTGTATAATTTTCCATGGAAAATGTTGAAAATTTGGTGTCCATTTGACTTCGTTTTTTATGGAATTTGTCCATTAAAATGATAATTTTTTCTACTCTCCATCTCTCTATATATTTCCTCTTAATACAGCACTATATATGCAATTTATTTATTCAACTGTGTATACACGTGTGTTTGACGAATGCAGGATTTGTCTGAAAATTCTGGGATTCTGCAAATTTTGCTGCTGTAGCTGTGAGGCAAATAAAAAGGGCAAAAGGGGATTATAAATCGATTCGCGGTCAAACAGCGACACGAGGGTTTGAGGGGCGGGGGTCGAAGATATTTTTTTTGCAACGTTTTGGCAAAGCTTTAATTACTCTTTTTTTCTTTTCTTTTTTCCGTGCTCAATTTATTTCTTTTATTTTAAAATTTTAAATAAATTCGAGTAAAACTTACTTGCTTTTATTTTTTTTTCATAAAAATTGATTAATAATTTGCTCATTTACTTATAAGTACGCTTAGCCGTATTCAAAGTTTCTTTTGTTTCAAAGTTTCGAAATCACTTAGGTGTGCCAATATGTCGAGTCGGCTCACAACGTAGGCAGATAATCTTGGTTCAGCTTTTGGATGAGCTGGACTTAATCGGTCAACAAGTCAAGCCAAGAGGTTAATCCCTTCTCGTGTAGGATCGGGCCAAATTATCCCACGAACTCGTACTTTTTTAAATAGAATTTATTGAAGATTATGAAAAATGTTAAATGCGATGTAATAAAAACCTTCACCACCCTTTTCTTTGTGGGTACTGGCTCTCTGGCTCATATGACTAGCCCGTGGACCTACTTTAACGTCGGTCCATGAAGCCCATAAGTTGAGGATCCTAACTCAATGCAACTTGTCAAACTAAAAATCGAGCTAAGCTCAACCCTAAAGTCATTCAAATGAAATCATGATTGTCAATGGACCGAGCTCTCACGAGCCAACAAGTTGTCCAACCCATTGCTACATCTAAAATCACTTACATTTGGTGATTATGTGCACAAAAATAAGAGTCTAAATAAAGTGCATGCGATGTGTATCTTTATTTGCGTTTAGCTTCAACTTCCTTTCTAATAAAGTTAAGTTCTTGTGTTAACTGAATGATTATGAAACATTTGAAGTTTAAGTCGAAAAATCAAGTAAAAATTTTCATTGTGTATTTAATTTTTCGAAATTTAACCTTATAAACCTACCACAAAAACCTGGACTATCAATGCTCATTGATTCAACTGAATATCGAAAATTCAATTAGAACAAGAAACTCGTGAGTTACAATTCAATACCGATAATCAATCTTATCAACAACTCGTTGATTAAAAATTCAATTCTGAGACCGAAAAAGAATTTGAAAGAACTCTCCAAGACCAAAGACTAATTTTGTTTAGTAATAAGCAACCAAGAAACAAGAAACGGAGAACAAAAGATTAAATACTAAAGGGTAGTTATATTACCACCACAAATTTTATTTAATATACCACATTTTAATTACAATTAAACTACTTAATATTTTCTTATTATAGCAATTATTTCCTTAACTTTTTCCTTCTAATTCTTATCTTCAACCTTCCACTAATTAGTACGTCTCGTCTTTGATGATGATTTGTATCAAAATATTTTGTTTTCATGCTTTGAAATGAGGGAAAAATATTTTTGCGTACTTTTTATTTATTTATTTTCTAAAAATATGATGGAAAATAAGTTTTTTTAACGCCATTTCAACGGATTTTTAGACATAAAATTGTTATAAAATACAAAATACATTAACTAATGAAAAAATTGAGGATAAAAATGACATGAAAAATCATTAGAAACATAAATACTATAATGAGCAAAGATTAACAACCTTGAGTACAATTAAAATGTGGTGGAGAGAATAATTGCATGTGTAGGCTTGCAACCTCAGCGTGGAGAGTTCGATTCCTGGAAGGCATAATTTGTGGAAGGCACATTATGTGGAGGGCATGAATTGTGAAAGGTAGTGATGAAGACTCTCTTGGGGCCAGGAGTTAAAGATATACAGGAACCTAGGAGCCAATAAGGGTATAAGCTGCGATTTACTTCCTCGAACTGTTGAGGGGCTGGTGGCTAGGAGTTCAGGATATAGTCTAACTAAGTTAGGATACTTGGGTATAAAAAAAAAAATGTGGTGGAGAGAATAAAAGTTGTTGTGTGAATATAATTACCCAATACTAAAACCTAGAATAAAACCCTAATCTTATAAAAGACCGTATTGACCCTAATTAAAGTAATAATTAAGTGCGTAAAATAAAAATAAATTAAATGTATTAAAATTAATTAAACCTGTACGTTCAATCCAATTGCATCAGTTATAAAGGACTCTTAGACATGATTTTGATGTCATAGTGCATTGCTATCTTGAGTTAACAAGGAATTCGTTACACAAGTGCATGTCGCCATGTCGCATCGTTGCCTTAATTTGGATTTTGTACATGTTAGCAAACAAGTTGTGGTGCATTCAAATTGATTCACAAAATTGTACGTAGAGTAACAAAAGATAGCTCATTTCCTCATAGATCAAGGCAAATTATATGAAGACTCGATATTCTATCTTAAAAAGTTAACTTTATCAAGAAAAATAGTTCAAATCCTTATATACTGATCATTTATTTTATCTATTACTGATGTGAAGTTTATTGTGACTCATTTAGAAATATTAATCTTGAAATTTGATTGCTTGTTTGAACTTTAGATGGATCGAATGTTTCCTTTGAGCTTTAAGAACTCCTATATATATTATCTTAAATGGTTCACCTTCTGAGTAGCTTAAACCCTTGTATACTAATTATTTATTTTAGCTATAATCGACGTGGAATTTATTCCTTTAACATATAATACTCGAAAAATGTATAAAAATGAAACCTATCAATTTTACTAGCACATCATTTTTATTTTTATTTTTTTATCTACACAAGTACGTGGTTACTATTTTCAAAACCTAAAAACCAACAAGACGATGAGTCGAGTCGAGTCGAGTCGAGTCATCCAACTTCGTTTTTGATTCAAGTCCAAACCCTTTATCCAAGTCTTAATAATCGATAGCAAAGTCTTTTGGAAATGGAAAACAATTGCTATTGGAACATGCATGAAGTCATAACAGGCATTATTTCTGATTTGGATTGTTACTATAGTAGCTTCCTACATAAATTTATGCTATAAGTAGTGCTGCTTAAATGGTGGGAAATCCACAAAAGAATATTAGAAAATTCTTAGTTACTGTTTCGCGCGGATTCGCTCGCTAATAATTAAAAGGGGATCAGACGATTGTGTAAAGGACAAACCTCTTGGAACAAAGTCCCAAAAAGGGGTGTTTATTTAATATGAAGATTACAAGCTTGGACGTGGACAAGATGCCTCCAAGGGGCGCAAGCACACAAGTACAGGAGAATTGAAGTTAATTAAAACTAAATCTAATAAAAGGAAATTACATATTCTCTGTTTGAGAGTCAATTTTGTCGGGCTTATCTCATTATCTTCTTCTTTCTTTTATACTGCTTAGACGGCCTTCAACTGCTTAAGAACTGCTTGAAACCACCCATTTTCTTCATCATGGCCAATGTGTTAAAACTGCCGTTCATAACTTATCACCACACGACTCCATATTCTTGAGGTTCTTAGATCGTAGATGTAGCATTAATGTACTTAAACCGCTTGAAACCGTTGCCTTGGATGGTGGCAAGACGTTATTTCCACTGGGGCCTTTGGGTAACTTAAACCGTTTGGGCGATGACGGATTTATACCTTTGGGCGACTGCAGGGTCATTTACTCGCTCAGCCTCTGGGCGTTCTGCAGGTTTGGGCGATAGCATTGCTTTTGCTTTGTGGGCTTTTATGTCACTTGCCCACACTTTTATTCAGACTCTCGTACTGGACCTTCAATTGGGCTCCGCTCTTCAGATATTGAGACCTCGATTGGGCCTTGCTCTTTTGGGCCTTTTAGGTGGACTGCTTCGCTCTTTGGGCCTTCTACTTGGGCTGCACTTTTTGTGTGTCAACAGTTACAAAATGATAAAAGCTCTTTCAACATTCCCAATATTTGTTAGTTATTGTACTAATACTAATCTTGAGAGCTACTTGTGAGCACTCTAAAAAGAATGAAAGATGGTAAGAGGTGCTTAGAGAAAGAGAGAGAAGCTCTTCTCAAAATCAAATATGAGCTTATTGACGAATATGGTCAATTTTCTTCTTGGGAAAACCACAAAGATAAAAAGGATTGTTACGAATGGAGAGGTTTCCTTTGCAATAACCTAACTAATCATATTATCGAGTTGGATCCGAATGGTCTATACGAGAATGGAGAAAAGCGTATTGCTATTGCACCTCCAAGAGGTAACATTAGCATTTGGTTGCTTGAAATACAAAATTTGAAACATTTAGACCTCAGTTTCAATGACTTCGACTATATCAGAATCCCACAATTCATTGGTTCCCTATGCAAATTACAATATCTTGATCTTTCCCATTCTAATTTTAGTGGAGAAATTTCCCGCCATCTTGGCAACCTTTCTCAATTGCAATTTCTTGGTCTTGACACAGATGATGGTATGCTAACTAGCACAAATATTGATTGGCTTTCTCGACTTCATTCATTAAGCTATCGATCATGAGTTTAGTTAACCTCACAATGGCAACCAATTGGTTACAAACAATAGCAAAGCTCACTCAACTCAGAAGTGTTTGCCATATTGTAACTTACAAAATGTCTGTCCTCCCTCACCTACAATGATCAACGCTTCTAGTTCTCTTTCTGCCATAAATCTCGAGGGAATTGAACTCTCCTCTTCTTCGGTGTTCCCTGGGTTGTTTAACTTCAGCAGTAGCGTTAGTGTAATTGACCTCAGTTTCAAAAAACTACAAGGTACGATTCCTGATGCTATTACGAACATGCCGTCCCTTTCGTATCTTTCTCTTTGTGCGAATCAATTTGAAGGTGGGTTTCCAATATCTTTGGGGAATGAGTAACGCTATTTAGCCCTACTGGGGTTATAACTCCAATCTATGTGGTGCTAAAGTAGCATTAAATGATCAGTCGAATTAAATGGATTGTTTAATTCCACTATTCGTTTAGTCAATCACCTAATACCACATAAACTGAGGTTATAATTTCAGTGAGGCTAAATAGCATTTTTAGTCTTAACGGTTTTAGATTTGTCTAATAACCGACAGTGCCTCATCTTGCATTATCTTCTTCTCTAACACATTAGATCTTCATAACAATGGGAAAGTTACCCAGGGCATTGGAAACCTTTCCAAACTTGGGTTTATGTATCTTGGATCAAACAGCTTTAAAGATACAATTACCGAAACTCATTTCTTTAATCTCTCCCAGCTAAAATTTTTGGACTTGTCTTCCAACCCACGTCTCTCTTTCAATTTCAGCCCTGAATGGAATCCTCCGTTCTCCGGGAAGATCCCTTCAATAGTTTCACTGGAAAAATTCCAACATCACTCAGGAATTGTACATTCTTACATTTCATTGATCTTTCAGAATATAAGTTGACCGGTAACATATCACGTGGATAGGAGATAGTTTGACTAGATTGGTCTTTCTAAGTCTTCCGTCCAATGAGTTCCTTGGAAGCATTCCTCCAACTCTGTGTCATCTAGCACATATACAGGTCTCGGAGTTCTCTTTAAACAAGATTTCTGGTGCCATACCAAAATGCATAAACAATTTCACTGCTACGATTCAAAACGTGGATTCTGAGGGTAATGGATCATTTGTGTTTAACTCCGTAAGCTTTGGGAGTGCAAAAATGATATGGAAAGGAAAAGAGCTTGAGTATATAAAAGCTCTTAAAACTTGTGAAACTCGTTGATCTTTCAAGCAACAATTTAGTTGGCAATATTCATGCTAAATCACAAGTCTTGTAACTTTGGTTGGGTTAAACCTTTCAAGAAACAACCTATCCGGATTCCTTCTTTCAGAGTTTGGACGACTGAGGTTTATTTATCGAGAAACCACTTTGATGGTCGTATGCCTGCTGGTCTTTCTCAACTGGATCAACTTGGGGTGTTGGATTTATCGCACAATAACTTGTCGGGCAGAATTCCACAATTTACGAACTATCGATGCTTCTGTATTCAAGGGAAATCCTGGACTTCGTGTCCTTCCACTTACAAAAACATATCCAGGAGACGAAATTGCCCAAGACCCTAAGATCACTGGTAATGCTAATGCGATGAAAAACCCAGAGAAGGCAGACAAGCTTATTGGTGAAGGATTTTACATTAGCATTGCAATTGGGTTTATTTTCGGATTTTGGGGAGTCTGTGGATCTTTGTTGGAGGATTGCATTTTTCAAGTTGTGGAATAGCGCAATGGATTAATTGTACATAAAGATAGCCATAAGCAAAATTCGACTCAGAGAAGTTACACAAATTTATAAAATTTTAGCAGAAAACTATAAAACTTTGGGATGTGTTAATTTTTCTTTTGTCTCTAGTTGTGTTACTTTTACAGTTGTATTGTCTGTACATCTAGGAGTGTTGAATAAAAGGTGAATAATTTGCGATCCTGGTCATTGATAAGTTTGTGGTTCGAATCACTGCCCACACTGCCCAAGTTTGGTTTTCAAACATTATTTAAAACACAAATTTGTGGCAATACTTAGCAATGAAGTTATCTCGAATGATCTAGCCAGTAATTAAGATGTTTAGAATTATCTTGTAAACGTGTGATTTGGTACTCAACTACAAATTATGTGAAGAATCTTTTCCAAAATTAAAAACTAAGAAGGTCGGGTGACAAAGTCAAGTCTTCCTTTTTTGTATTTGTTATAAGAAGTTCGAACTTTTTTCTAATCAGTGTCGATTGGAACTTGCTCATTTTAGAAGTGTGCAATAATAATTTCCCGTATGTTTGTATTTCATTCTTGCTAATTTTTTAGTGCAGTTTACTATGTCGAAATTTCACGAAGTAAATTTCTTCAACAGAAGAAATGCAATAAAAGGTTGAGGATATTTGGATCCTTGACTTCATGGACAGTAATTTCGGGGTTAAAGAAGTGTTAGTCGCTCAGCCTACAGAGATGTTTCATGGTAACTATCGAAATTTATTTTGTTCTAAGCTAATCATTGAAGTTTTCTTTTTTCATTTCATTCGTGGCATGGACATGGAGGTCTTCCGTGTCGGACATCAGGGGCAGAGCCAGCCTTTCGAATTAGGGGGGTCCCGGAGTTGAAGGGGCGGGGGCTCACGGGGCTGCCCCCGAAAATTTTTTTTTAAACATTATCTGTTAAAATGAGGAAAGTTGGTATTTTGTGATGGAGAAATGAAACAAATGAACATAAATTAATGTACAAAGATTTCACAAAAAAATCAAGAAACATATAAAAGAAACTACTAATTTTTTGAAATATTTCTCCATCACTGAGCTTAAGAATTGAGGAAACTCTTTCTCTCATAATTGATAAACAATACAACTTCACAAACAATTGAATGGGATGGATTAGGAGATTAAAAATAATTTTTTGAGGCCAAAAAATTAAAAAAATAATTAAAAAAAAAAATTT